TATATAATATATATATATATATATATATATATATATATATATATACTGTCGTGACGAATAAAAAAAGTTTATCTCGTTGCAGAACGCCTCCAAAAAGAACAATGTCGAAAGCATTGACGTTGACAACAGCGCGACGTGGCCATACAGATGAGTTATGGCATCATTCCAGAGATCCGATCAAACAACCCCTTTTAAAGAAGTTGATATCTAAAGAAGAATTAGCCGAAGAAGCGTGTTTCGCTTTTAACGCGATCTTAAAATACATGGGTGATCTACCAACGAAAAGACCTCGTATCGGTAACGAGTATACCGATCTTATTTTCGATGGACCATTAAAGAACGAAATTCTTCGGGACGAAATTTATTGTCAAGTCATGAAACAATTAACAGATAATCGGAATAGATTGAGCGAAGAACGCGGATGGGAATTAATGTGGTTAGCCACTGGTCTTTTTACTTGTAGTCAAAGTCTTTTGAAGGTATATAAAATATCGTGCACAAATGATATTTGCCACAAATAAAATGTGATCCTTTAATTCATTCCTCGATCTCTATTCATTCATACAGGAATTAACTTTATTCTTGCGTACGAGACGACATCCTATATCTCAGGATTCTCTACAAAGGCTACAAAAAACTTTACGTAATGGCCAGCGAAAATATCCTCCACATCAAGTGGAAGTAGAAGCTATACAGCACAAAACGACGCAAATATTCCACAAAGTTTATTTTCCCGACGATACAGATGAAGTACGTATATATAATGCCTCTAAATACCTAGTTTATTTTATTTTATTTTATTTTTTTTTTTTATTCATTTTGTGAACAGTTATACAAAATTCACAACAACAAATCATTCTCTAATTTATTTTTACACGCAGGCATTTGAAGTAGATTCGTCAACGAGAGCTAAAGATTTTTGTCAAAACATTGCGCAAAGATTAAATTTACGGTCTGCAGAAGGATTCAGTCTTTTTGTGAAGATCGCTGACAAAGTGATCTCAGTTCCGGAAGGGGATTTCTTTTTCGATTTTGTACGGCATTTGACAGATTGGATAAGAAAAGCTAGACCGTCTCGTGATGGTAGAGATTTTATTACGTCTTTTTTTTTTAAACGAAAAAGTGGCAAAAGAATATTATTTATATAATTCATGTATTTTGCTTAGGCGTATCACCCCAATTCACGTATCAAGTCTTTTTTATGAAAAAACTATGGACCAATACCGTTCCCGGTAAAGATAGAAACGCAGACCTAATTTTCCACTTCCATCAAGAACTTCCTAAATTATTAAGAGGTGAAAATCATTTCCTTTTCTCAAAATCATTTTCTCGTTTCGATCATATTATACAATCGTATTTATTTATCTACACTTTATAGGGTATCATAAATGTACAAAAGAAGAAGCTTCGAGATTAGCAGCATTGGTGTACAGAGTTCGTTTTGGTGAGAGTAAACAGGAACTTCAAGCAATTCCGTAAGTGAATGTTATATATAAGCAATATATCACTATTTGAAGATAAGACAAATGTTATGATTCTTTGCAGGCAAATGTTAAGAGAACTTATACCTGGCGATTTAGTAAAGGTACAAAGTTCCAACGATTGGAAAAGATCGATAATAGCAGCATATAATCAAGATGCTGGTGAGATATATATTATTTCAATTAAATTTAAATGCATATTATTTTAAATCGAAACTATGATTCTCTCTATCTCTCTCTCTCT